CCCCCCCCCCCCATTTTAACAGGGAGCCCTTTGTAGCTGCCCTTGGCATTGAACTGCTGCATTACTGACCCCACAGGCAGTGACAGGGGAGGGGAGAGGATGTTTTGATGTGTCTGTCTTCAAGTACACCTGTTTGCTGAGCTTAGCTTTCATCTGATCCCTTCAGTCAAAGGCTGCCTGCGCTGTTAGCTGCACCATGGAGCCTTTATCTCTGCTCCCGTGGCAGTGGGCAGGCGGTAGGTGACTGTCCTGCCACTTCTGTCCCGGTTTTGTCTAGGGTTGCCAGGTGTCTGGTGTTGGCCTGGACAGTCCGGTATTTGCAGCCTCTGTCCAGTTAAAAAAACCCAGAAAATTACATATCTGGTATTTTCTGTTTTTTCTCGGACGGAAGGCCACTAGCGCATTCTTCCCCTGCCACATCTGGAGGAGGCAGAGGGAGCATGGGGATTTAAAGGCGCAGTGACTCTTTTCTTTTTGTGTGGATTTTTTTTTTCTCAACAATTTTTTCCCCCACCATGTTTGGTATTTCTTGTGAAAGTCTCTGGCAACTCTATCCCCGTCAAGCCCCTCTGTAAGGGGTTGAGCTTGCAGGCATGTCTTGTGCCTCATGTGATTGGTGGTGATCACTTGGGTGAGAGAGAGATGAGGGTAAATGCAGGGTCGCTTGGCCTCAACTCTATGTCCAACAACCCACAATTCCTTGCAACCAGTGTGAGGGAGGCACCTTACATTTCCGGCAGCTGAACTTGCGGCTTCCAATAGAGGGAATACACAGTGATTGCCCTGCAGAGCCCAGAGCTGCCCTCAATTTGTATCTCTGACACTGCGAGCAGGCTGGAGACTTTGCCTTTACACAGCTCTGTCAGAGCAGAACAATCATAATATGTCAGGTTGGGGCCAGGCCGGGATGAAACCTTTCTGCTTCATGCTCCTGCTTCTTTTCATCAGCGCCCCGCTTGGGGAGCCTGCAGATGGATATTTCCCCCGCTGGAGCCCTCGGCACACAGGTAACGCGTCGGCCCGTGGTGAACCTGAGTCCCGGCACCGCTGGGCTTGGCGGTTCCTAGCCCCTGTGCTCCTGGACTTGCCGTGTCAGTGGTGAAAGTTTTAAAAAAATAACTTGAGCTCCAGCACCTCTTTTAATACAGATTATGCCTTGGTGGCGTTGACACCAGAAGCGCTCTGTGCCAGGTGCTGTACAAACCCAGAGCAGAGAGACCGTCCCTGTCCCAAACCACTTCCAGCCTCTTAAAAGATTTTTAATTTTTATTTGGTCACCGCTGCGGTCGATCTAAATGAATCCTATTTTCAGAGGCGCTTGAGTACCCGCAAATCTAGCGGAAGTCAATGGAAGCTGCAGGTGCTCAGTGCCTCCTGGGAAACAAACGCCCGAGGGCTACATTTTTCAGATGCGCAGATGGCTAGATTTTTCAAATGCTCAGCACACCAGCGGTTGGGGCCTGATTTTTCCAAAGTTCTCTACACATTGGGTGCAGAGCTCTTTTGAAGAACAGAGTGTGTATTCAAGTGCCTGTAAGCTCTTGGGGGCAGAGACTTGTCCGCCTTTTACTGTGGCTCTGTACAGTACCTAGCAGCCTGATCTTGACTGGTCCTTACGCATTGCCGTGATAAACTCCAGAGAGTCGTAATTGATGGGAGCTGGAGTTTGTCTGAAACGTGGGGGGGCATCTTACAAAACTTTCTGGACTGTCTCCCTGTTTTGGGCCGTGGGTGCTCCCTCATACTTCGGTAAACTCCCAAAGCATGTCAGATGAATGTGCAGAGTAGGTTGTGGGAAGGAGGGAGGGGGAGCAGAGAGGGAGTTGGAGGAAATGTGAACATAAGAACAGTCATACTGGCTTAGAGCAAAGGTCCATCTAGCCCAGTATCCTGTCTCTGACAGTGGCCAATACCAGATACCCCAGAGGGAATGAAAAGAACAGGGAATCATCAAGTGAACCCTCTCCAGTCACTATTTCCAGCCTCTGATAGAGGCTAGGGACACCATTCCTACCCATCCTGGCTAATAAGTATTGATGGACCTAACCTCCATGAATTTATCTAGTTCTTTTTGGAATCCTGTTAAAGTCCTGGCCTTCACAATAGCCTCTGGCAAGGAGTTCCACAGGTTGACTGTGCATTGTGTGAAGAAATATTTCCTGTTTGTTTTTAAACCTGCTACCTATTAATTTCCTTGAGGGACCCCTTATTTACGTGGAGGGAAGGTGATGGCACACAGGTCCCACAGGGGTGTGTGTGTGTGTGATTATTTAATTTATATTACAACGGTGCTGAGGAGCCTCAGTCATGCACCACAACCTTGCTGTGCCGGGTGCAGTACAAACACACAACACAAAGACAGACAGACCCTGCCTTTGTCTGGCACTTCTCTGGCCGCTTTCCCTCATCCGCTCCCTCTGCACTTTTCTCTGCAGGTGATCATTTCAAATACCTGGCCAGCCCGGCCCATGGGGATCGAACCATTCCTTGCTTGGAAAGCAAGCCCAGCGCCGAGAAGGCAGACCCAAAATCCACCTTGGCCCTGTTGTGCAAGCCTCAGCGGAGCCTGGTCCCGCCGGGGCAAGGCATCCATCCGGCCAAAAGCAGAGCCATCCCTGTCCCCCAGGGCTCGCTGCTCATGGAGCGGGAGAAGGATCTCTCCGCCTACAACTGGAACTCGTTCGGCCTGAGATACGGCAAGAGGCAAGCGGAGGCGGTGGAAGCCAAGGTGAAAATATTGTGATGCCAAGAAGCAGCCGCAGCAGGACGGGAGGGGAAGGTGTGACTGAACTGCAGCAAGTGTAGCTTTACAATGGATTCTCTTTGTTTTCTGTCCCGAGGGTACAGGAGGAAGGCATTGGAGGGGGGTCCCAATGGGCGGGAGGGGGGATATGCAGCACAGCCACCATTTTCTAGAGGGATTGGGGTGGGGCGGTTCTGTTTGCAGGGAGAGTGTCAATCTGAGATACCTCAGGCCTGATCTGCAGAGGGGGGCCAAGCACTCACAGTTCCCACTCACCTCAGTTTGATTTGGGGGGTGCAGAGCATCTAGGAAAATAAAACCCCTAATCATTGCAGGTGTCCTGCACCTCTGTCTGCAAGAAGCTGGGAATGGGCAACAGGGAGGGATCACTGGATGATTCCCTGTTCGGTTCACTCCCTCTGGGCACTTGGTATTGGCCACTGTCGGCAGGCAGGATACCGGGGTAGATGGACCTTTGGTCTGACCCAATATGGCCGTTCTTATGAGCTTGGGCATTTAAAAAATGGAGGGTCTGCCAGTCAATGCCAAAGGAACTAATGGGAACAAGTGCTCTAAGACAACACCCAATTGAACTCTGGAACTCACCGACACTGGGTGAGGCCAAAAATCGAGTGATATTTAAAAAAGACTATCCAGCGTTACAATTCAGGCGAACCATTTTGGAAGGGACGTTAAACATCATACGTAAGGGCTTAAGCCCATCTCCTTTCAACTATCCGAGACCTGGTGAGGGGAAGGGGCAGATGACTCCTCATCAGCCTGTGGCCAAGTTTCTGACACCTTTTGCTGCAGCATCCGAGACAGCATACAGAGCTAGAAGGACCCTGGCAGTCTGGCAATCCCTGTGTTCCCACGAATAGGGATGTTAAGGACTAGTTGACTATCGGAAAAGCAAATGCTTATTGGATAGTCGACAGGATAGTCAACTAGTCACTTCCCTCCCCCTTGCTGCCTCTGCCTCTGTCAGCTGGGGACTCCAGCTGATCACCGGTTCCATGCAGCACTGCCCCTTTGAAACACCACTGCAGCGTTTCAACGGGGTAGCACCACACCTTATTTAATAGACTTCTTTTTTTACCATACCCCTCCCGTTTGTCTCTTTCCTAAGGAAACCCTAATCTCATAGGCCCCTTCTCCCAGCTGCAGCTGTATAATATTCCTGCAACCACCAGAGCAATTGTTCATGCCCCTGCAAGGGTTGTTGGCAGTTAGGTTCAAACCTGAGACCTCCAGATCTCAAAGCATGAGACTCAACTGCCAGCGGAAAGCCAGTAGTAGACTCCTGAATCTCTGTGCAGAGGGAGACTGGGAGCCACACAGCATGGCTTATAGGTGTTCCATGTATTTGTAGGAGCTTTGGGTACAATTTAGCAGCTGGGCGCAAGGGGGTGAAGTGAGCACCATGTGGCTAGCCAATAGTGATCCAGCATGAATACAAAATGTTTGGCCATTTCTGTCTGTTTCTCCCAATATCTGCAGGACCATAGCCCGTAAAGCTCCTTGAAGTAGGGCCTGTAGGCTCCTCCCTCCCACCGTGTCCCGTGCACGTACAACACGTCATAAATAGTAGTCACATAAAGCCTGCTCCCAGCCCCCATGCAACGTGTGGAGCGGGCGCACTCAGAACTCCACAGGGCATGGGGAACATGGCTCCAAATTTGCTGGGAAGTGAGCTCTCTGCTAATCTAATCTGTCAGCATAGGGGGACGCAGGACAGAGATTCCCTTCCCCCCACCCGGGCTGTTCCCATATGTGGGCTCTGATTTTCAGAAGTGCTGAGCACATACAACTCCAACTGAAGTCAATGGGAACTGCAGGTTCTTTTGAAAATCGGGCCCCACCTAGCTCCCAAGCCTCTGGCATTGAAATATTTCAATCTGGCACTCTTGGATGAAACCTTTTGTGGCCCTTGGCACTGTTCGGTGTTCCGGCAATTCTTGCAGGCCTGTTGTTGAACTGATCCCTACATTATAGGACTTGCTTGCTTGGTCTCCCTGAGCAATGCCAGAGGAGGCGCTGAGTAAGGATTCTAGAAAAGGACCACTGTAAATAAATCCCCAGGAGGAACAACTGCACAGCTTGCTGAGCTTGTAGGAAGTGAGAAGGGGCAAAGGCTGTTTCAAAAGTCACCCCTGTGCATTTGAGTTTTTCTGCTGACGCCTGTGATTCTCTGACGTTGTTTAATAAAGGCAGCTCCATCTTCCTCTGTGTGGTGTTGAATCTTCTCCCCTCGAGGGCGTTGTCAGTGGCTCAGTAGGCATTTTATAAAAAGCAGCATGCTGATCAGCGAGCGCTGCGATGGCAGCAAAGACGCGGCCAACTAAAATATCCTCGAGGCTGTGCAATGTACTGTGCCAGCAAGCTGGCAGGGTGGGGAGACAAGAGAACTCCTACCAGCCCACGAGGATGCACGTATCATGAACCTACTAAGCAGAAGACAACAGCTCCTATCTAAATCTCCCCTCCACGTACAGCCCCTTCCTCCTGGTCAGGTGGGAGGAAGACCCTTGGCCCAGGATGTGACGAGAGGGCACTTTTTCGGAGGCAGCAGTCGCATGGCTTGCCCACAGGTGCCGAGAAGCTGCATGCAGAGAGGAATCCCAGGAGTCATGCGCAGAGCTGCATGTGGAACAGGCTGTGGCTACGAGATGTAACGGGGTGGGTGAAGATCTGGGCTGGACTTTTTGGGGAGCAGCAGCAGTAACTGGATAGGGAGCCAGAGCAGGGGACCCCAACAAGACAGTCACCACTCCGTGGTCCTGGCCTGGAGGCCTGCTTGAATAGAGACTGGTCTGAGGAGGGCATCCCAGGCTCTCGCCCTGAGGAGCGCACAGTCCACCTGTGGAACTCCTTGCCAGAGGATGTGGTGAAGGCTAGAACTTGAACAGGGTTCAAAAAAGAGCCATGGTAGTCCCTGGGCGAATGCCCCGGTTCAGAAACAGCCCAGTGCTGGTTCACATGGCCTTGCGCTGCCCCCCTTCCCAGCACGTAGCACAGAGGTGTGGGGCTGGAAAGGTGATGGACAGATGCTGCATGCCTGGGTGATTTGGGGGAGCGGGGGGCTCTGCTATTAGAGCAGCCTGGAATCCAGACAGCATAAAGCCAGGTCTGTCCCTACTGTGCAGAGAGACAGCCCCGAATCTGGGTCTCCCCTCCCTTCCTCTGAGCCCAGCTCATGCAGAGCGAGGTGCTGCTCATTAATTTGTTAATCAAGGCTCCAGGGTCTCTGTAGGTCTCATACAATGAGGGTTATGAAAGCCCCGGCTGGGCCTTTTCAATTCTGCCTCTGGCCTCAGCTGCTCAGCTTGCAGGTAAGGGCCTGAGCCCCAGGAAGACGTGATTGAAAAATTCCTTGCAATGAGTGTGAGAGCAGCTGCTCCCAGCTGCCCTAGGACAAGATACAGGTCAGGCGAGGTCTGTGACCAGCTGGGACAGACGGTGGGAAACGTCACTCGGGTCCTTCAGAACCCTCAGGGTCCCAATAGTTGCTTGGGCCTAGGGGGAGCGCAGCTTGTCAGCCACAGGCATGAGTGACAGGGAGGTGCTTGGGGGAGCCTTCCCAAGGAGGGGTGCCGGGTAAATGCAATGAAAGGCAAAGCGGGGGAAGGGCGTGCTGCCACATCGCATCTGGACCTGTCCTCCCAACTGCAAGCTCCAGATCAGCTGATCTCTTCAACCCTGCTGCTTGTCACCACTACCAGGTACACCTTTGCAATAAGTCCCAAAACCCACTGGAAGGCAGCTGTCTAGTGGTGAGAGCAAGGGATTGGAAGTCAGGAAATGCAATGAAAGGCAAAGCGGGGGAAGGGCGTGCTGCCACATCGCATCTGGACCTGTCCTCCCAACTGCAAGCTCCAGATCAGCTGATCTCTTCAACCCTGCTGCTTGTCACCACTACCAGGTACACCTTTGCAATAAGTCCCAAAACCCACTGGAAGGCAGCTGTCTAGTGGTGAGAGCAAGGGATTGGAAGTCAGGAAACCTG